TTATTGACAGACTCTATTTTTCTGAGTTGCCGTTTCAGGTGTCAGGTGCGTCTGAAACAGTGTTTTTGCCCATCACAAACAGCGGTTTCAACGCAAACACTGTTTACAAAATCAAGGCAGCGTTTTATCGCACCGGTAGTAGGTAGTGGGATGGAATATTGAGACGTAGCGTGTCGGTACGATGCCGCGAGCGCACTGTGACTGGCGAGTAAGAGTGCCGCTGGACGACGGGCTGCATAAGACTAAGATGAGGAATTCGAAACGGCGCACGGCGACTTGGCAGTAGTCGGCAGGTTGATACCAAACTCGCGCAAGAGGTCGAGAAGTGGTGCGGTGTCGTCGGCGAACCGGCCAAGAAGCTTTGCGTCAATGGAGGCAACGTCGAGGAGGCCGCCGTGCGAGAGAAGGCAGCGCGCGACGCGGAGGCGTCTCTCCTGTAGCGCCGCGAGGACAGCACCAGGAGGTACCGGACGCTAAGAGCATGTCGATGATCTCCACAGTGCCACTGCCAAGCAGCAAGCGATCCAGCGCTGTCGCGAGTGCGGCATCCACATCCAAGTCGGCGTCGGCCAGAGTGAGAAGGTACGCCAAAATATCTCGCTGGTTGTCGCAGACGGCTCTCTCGATCGAGTTGCGCGGTGGCGCGACCCCGTGCTCAAAGAGAAAGCAGATACCGTCGAGGTGGCCGCGAGCAATCGCAGCCCGGATGGCGTTGGACGAGCACACGTAGCCATCGCGGTGCAAAAGCTGGACGAGAGGCCACGTCATCGGCGCCCGCAAAGTGTGTTTCGGGCACGGTATGGTGGAGGTATGTGGCCATGTCGAGCGAGCGACGTTGCGTGATGGCCCTGCGCAGCACGTCGGGTCTCCACCCGATCGTCGTGTACGTCCGGAGCAATTGGAGCAGCGCCACGTTGCCGTTCTCGACGCACGTCAACGGCAAGTCCTGTCCAATGGGCCAGACGTCGTCAACGATGGCGCCCAGTGTGTGCCGAGCTGCGGCACATTCTGGCGCTGCTCCATGAGGTACGCGGCAACCTTGAAGCGAGCGCAGTGGAAGGCAAGGTCGATAGCTTCGGCGGACGCGAGGTCCGGGCGACAGGCCAGAATGCGCTGCGTCGCTGGCATGTCACCGCTGTAGATCACCACGTGCAACGGAAGGCGAACGTCATGCGACGCGTTGCAGTCCAAGCCCAAGCTGCGCGGGTGCAGCGAGTACACAAAGGTGCGTGCCGAGTGGCAGTCGACGAGGGTAAGGTGCCACCGCATGTCGTACTCGTCCTCGGGCGATATCTGCAACGACGCTGTCTCGACTCAAGACTCTTGAGAAACCAATATCGGACGTCCTCGTAGACGCCAAATTGGTAGCCAAAGATGACGCTTGCTATTCCCAATGCAATGACTGCTTGTACAACCCGATCGCTGGAGCCTGATTTTGTATACCATACAAATAGTGCGGTATGACGTGGCACGTCCACAGCACCGTACCGCATCGTAAATCAATCAATCAAACGTGTTCGCGTGGAAATGAAATGAGCAAAAACGAACTCCAAGACTTCGCATACGTAGTGCTACGCCTGAATGCGTGGGAGTTGGCACCAGCACTTGGTCGTTGGGAGCAAGGGTACATAAATCTCAATTGAATTTATGTACCCTTGTTGGGAGTGAGCTGCGCACGGGAAGATCCATCCCATGGTGGACCCCACTCGCCGAGGGATAACTCGCGCGAGGTCGTACACATGCTCCTGTACTCGAACCAGCCTTAAAATGTCTCGAACTCGCACACACGCGCGCCAGCTAGTCGCCTTGCGCTACAGTATACCAATACATAGAGGCTAATGGATGCCCATATCGGCTGCATCATCCACCCATCGCGGCCAGAAGTCGTGTCAATGGAGAAAAGAGGCCCCGTGCGGGGGGTGCTTGCCGAAGCTTTGGATTTTGCATTGGACAAACGTACAGTCTGCTGGTCATTGGACGAACACTGCGGCGAGCGACGACCGAGCGTGGGCCTGGACAAAAGTCCACACCCGACCTTCGTGAGCAGACCTTGGCACACACTCGATCACTGCAACCTGCGTCGAGGTCACGTGATACTGGCCATCGCCAAGTGTATGTGTAGGTTGGGATGGCTAGAAAACCACAGCGTAACGGGTGATGGACGGTACGAGGGACGACCAATTCAAAGATGGTGGTTCTGGAAGCCAAACTGTTTTACCGCATGTCAGCACGCTCCAAATCACTACCGTCGACAGACAGGCTCTACATATATGTATTCTAGCTGCTACAACCCGGCGTGCAGCTCGTGCGTGACGAAAGCGGGGTCGTTGATGACGCTTGCACCGCAGGATCGACCGCCGCTTGTAGCCGCTGCTAGCTGAGATAACTCGTCTTTCGATGGATGGACTAGTAGACAATTCGTTGCCCATTGTTGTGTCTGGACGATTGGGACAACCCTTGCTCCTCCCAACGCAAGCCAGGACACGACCTGATTGGTCGTTGATGGCTGGAGAAGTCGTTAGGGAAAGGGGTGACTAGCTGGAAGATACCCGGTATAATAGTCCTCGGCATATCTTCCATCGGCGCCTCTTCGAGTGCCCACGCTGAAGATCACCTCCTCACATTATCTTTTGCTCTGCGGAGTAACTCAATACCACTGCCTGCTTTCCGGGAGACGGCTCTCCCCTCGCATTGAGTTTGAGTTCCACCGCGAGCGTCACCACACCATGCAACTACTGGTGTTGTTGGTAGCTAGTGCATTTTACAGCCGTTGGTGAATCGGAAGACTTGGCCTTTGCAGAAACGATTGAGAGGGCATCGCCACAGCGTGTGCTCGATGCCTGGCTTTATCGTCGTCCCCACCGTCACCGATGGCCCGCGAGCGCAAGCATCGGTGGTTGTCAACACGTTGTCCATTCCACCGCGACTAGACAACGCGACGGGCGACTAGATTCATCCAAGCTCGAAATGCAATTCAAATGATGTCGTATACCGCACGACACGGCATCCTACATCAATCGCCCCTTTCGTGTCGAGCACGCAAGGACCGGGTTCGACCATGGCACTAGAGCGACCTTCAACTCTAAAGTTGCCGCTTGTAGCGAAACTGGCCAAGCATGGTACGTGAATCACACGCAGCAGTGTTTTGGGCAGTGCGACAGAGACTTCCGATGATCAACGAGGTGCGACTGGACGCTACGCCTACACACGAAGCCTGTCTCCTACTACCAATGCAGCTCTGTGGATGCTGCATGCAAGCGCGTCACGCATCTCTGCGCCCGTCCATCCATCTTATTCGTCGACTTGTTGCGTCCATCGAAAAAAAGACGGCGGCAACACGTCAACCTTCAACGATTATGCAGTGGGTATCCACAGCCACAGACCCTCACCACAACTGGCAATGTCAAAGTGCAGATTCAAAGCCCATCGGATCGAATCCGACTCGAATCTTGACACGTTGTATGTCTCTTGTGCCAACTCAACGAGCCAGCGTGGTACTGCGCGCCGGCGCAAGCTCGCCAACAGCTGTTGGACGGTCCAGATTCCATTTCAGGCCAGGCGCAGAAGCAGTGTTTTTGATTGAGATTGCACTTTTATCTCGAGCTCATTCTTGCATTTGCTTCGATCTCCACAGCATGGTCGCTGCCAAGGAAAGTGAGCCGGCCAACGTCGTCATGACGCCTGGCGTCGCCGGCCGGTCGCCCAACGCCGCCGAGTACACGGACGCCGACGACGAGATCCGCCTCGAAGAAGAAGACAAGACGTTTGCGAACCTGCCGTGGTACATGAAGCTGCTCTGGGGCACCTTTTACTTGTCCTGGCCATGAGCTCGCTCTACTTTTCATGGTCGCCGTCAAGTGGATCGGCGAGTCGT